ACCTTCGAACTCTTTTATTAACTTTTCATAAAACGTTCTATTTCTTGACGTTGTTGTTCCCATTATTTGTTATTGTATCTTGTTTTTAAGATGTTTTATGTTATTTTAAAGTTCATTATTGATTATTATAATAAATTTATAGTTAATAACCTTGTTTTAATTGATCTACTAAATAATAAATAGACTAGTGTTAATTTTCAAGTGAAATATCTAAAGTACATGAAAACTTTCACATGAAACATTGGAATGGTTTACAACAATTTTAGAATTGTAATTAAGAAATGTTAATTAAAAAATTTTATTTTTTGTTGTTTTATTTCTATTTTTATGATTATTTTATACCTTGTTTTAAATAACATATTTATATTTTTGTTATTATTTATTATTTTTCATTTATGTTAATTTCAATAACGAATAGTATACTCAATGACTATACTTCTTTTTATTCTATCTGAAGTGTCATTTATTTGTACATTAAATAATCTAATAAATGAACTTTATTTCTTTATCTTCATTTTGATATTCTTCTTATTATTAAGTTATTTCATTTGTGTTATTTTGAACATCAAATTATTTTGTTTTCTTTAAATTTCTTCTTTCAGTGTCTTTCTTTAATACCAGAATTTATAGTGATTTTGAAATTATGCTTTAACGTTTATTTAATTTCTCTTTCTAATTATTTCATAGTATGTAGTACAATTCAATTATTATGTATTCATTAGATATTATAATTTGAACGTATAATTAATTTGATAATAAGAAATGTATGCCAATGAGAATTATAAATTAACATTATTCTTGATATTTATAATGTACAATATCTTTTTTAACATTATATTTTGAATTAGTTAACCATCCTTCTTTTATTTATTGACAATACTTATTTAGCAAATATTTATATAATTTTGAATAACTGAGACTTATTTATTTTTTGTTAAATAATGAGTGATTAGAATTTAAAACAAATGGATAATAATTGATTGATTATTTTAATTTCTAAATCATTCATCATAAAATAATTCTATATATATTTATTGTTTTTATAATATATTTTTATGATATAAAAATATCATTATTATTGCTTTTCTTAAGTAATACATATAAAATTAAATAATTAATATATATCATTATCTAGCTTAGCTTATAAGAAAAATAGAATTAGTTGATTTATACAATATTATTAATATACTAAAGTAATCAATGAAAAAATAAAGAATGATTTACAAAAATATAAAAATATTGAATAAAAGATGTTATGAAATAAATAGTAAAATATAAACACGATCAAAATGAATAATAGTAATAATAAATGGTTAAACAGAAATAAACAATCTACAGTTAGTATAAACTATGGTATTGAAAAGAAAAATAACATATTTAATTTAATAAATACTATTAATTGACAATAAAAAAAAGAAAATATATTAGAATATTGCAATAGCATCTTTAATACTTTGATGAATACTTTTCTTTTTATATCTAAAGACTATCATATGATTGTTATTAATTTCATAATATTAAATACACAATTTTCATTTCTTTTTATTCACCACATTTCTTTCCATTTAAATATCATTTATTTTATTTGTCACACATTCAAATACTTTGTTTACGTCATGTTTTATTTCATTTAATTGTATTATATTCATTAATTAAAATTAATTTTCTTACCCC